TAAATTTGGCGACTGATACAGTTGCATGGTTCGGCATTCCTGGGACTACGAAATGCATCACCCAAGGATTTTGTAACCCCCAGCTCGTGTTTTATCGTAACGGCTATACATTGATTATTAGGACCTGGGAAAATATTAGCGCTTCGCAAGGTGGATATTCGGGCCAATATGCTGGACTTTGTAACGGCCAGCAGGTTAAAATCAGTTTAGCAAGGGGGGAGACATATTAGGTGATTAGTAAGTGGTTATTACCTGCTGAAGTGGAGGAGAAGTCTCAATATCTTGTTTCTGATAGTTGTGCGATACCTTGCTGGAACCAAGCTTCTCTTCCCGATCCTCACAATACTGGCTAAGCCCGCAATGCAGAAATTTAGCAGCCCGAATCCTGAAAATACTCAGTTAATAACCCAAAGAGTTGGAGATAATCTTTATTTTTGTACTTACTATCTACAAGAAGGGCGACTGGACCAGCGTGGATTGTGACGGATAGGGTATAAATTATTGTTACTTGTGCTCGAAGTTTGTCTATGAACATGACGGCATTTTGAGCTGTTCTCTTTCATGGTATAAGCAGCTCTAGCTTCCTTCTGAGACCTCTCCTTATGTACTTATGAACCTTCCTTTTTTTTAAATGATCCAAATTGCAAGGGAATGCAGCAGTAATTGTGATCTAAAATAATCATAAACTTACACTGTACTGTAATAGTGTCAGAGGTTGTAGCGAAGACTATGTACAGAGTTTTTCTCCTTTATATTCCTTACTATGAAATCAGAGCGAGTCCTTCATTTAAAATTGCTTACCTCTCCAATTTAAGGTGAAAATGGATCATAACCCCTGATAATTGATACTGAGTGGATTGAGAGACTTGTAGGGAAAAATATGGCATTCTATTTCACTTGTGTTCCAAATCAGTCTTGCCTTCACTACTACTTATGTTTTAAAAATCGAAAGCAAAAAGTCTACACGCTAATGTGATGCCCAAAATGCATGATAGTGAATAAAAGAATACCCAACGGTAATGTAGTCCAAATTATGGTGCAAAAAGCACATACATGTAGTACCTACCAAATATGGTGGTGGTCTCCATGGGAAACAATTCGGTTTGAGCAATCCGGTAAATCTTTGACAAGGAATAGTATTCGACGGGGTAACTTTGGCTTTATTTAATTCTTTATCCGGAGAAAGAAGCATTGTGAATTTCCGCGCAAGTGATGTCTTCTCGCTTGGCATTGATACCGACCGCACAGACTCTCGACCGCCTCTTATAAAGCTGGTAAGGAACAACCCCGCAATATTACTCACAGGGAATTTCTACAGGCAAACCATATGACCCAACAAGCTTGTTTTTTGATGCCGAAACTCACGAGCCGTCAAGGGGTCTGTGGGCACACCATCCATCGGACACTTCATACCTAATTCCCTAACCATAGCAGTCAGGCGGCAGGCCAATACGTCTTTAAAGTTCTCATCGATGCTCCAATGGATGATTCAATCTCAAACAAGGTTCTATTCGTTCATGGACTGATCGGAGCTACATTGTCACGGTTGCTCTTGTTTCTTCTGCAAACTCTGTCTGCTCTTTCCTCGAACATATCAGTCCACTTGTCGCACATGGTAGAACTGATTCTCCTTCTAAGCACAGGGGAATCCACCGCAATACTTCCCCACGCCCCGGACCGTCGAATGAGAGAAACGGCTGATGCTCAAGCCATCGCAGTGCAGTTTTCTCTAGCTTTATCCGTACTGTCATGGTTTTTCGTATAAATACCAGGAAATAGTATGTCTTGGAACTACAGTGAACAGTTCCTCACACTTCAACCGCTTTCTTAGGCAATATGGCTATTAAGCACATCCTCTTACTAATTATTTTGGCTATCCCTGCCTTTGCGCAACAACAAGAGTGGGGACAATGTACGCTTATTTCTTCTTCTCTTGAACTTATTATTGACATATTGACATATTTTTTTCAGGTGGTGGCATTGGCTGGGCTGGTCCGACGACCTGCGTTTCTGGCACATCCTGCATTAAGCATAACGACTATTTTTCGGAATGTCTCGCTCCTTCGTCTTCGACTGCAACTGGCACTCAGCCTACTGGCGGAAATTGGTGATCTCGGAGAAAGCCGAGTCTGGAAACTGTATAGCCACAGGCAATTTTTGTAGTTCCTTACGTGTTTACCTACAGTACTAGACCTACTACCGCTACATGGTTGAATATTCACGCTTTCTTCTCATCGAACCGATGTATGTCTGATCCCTGGATGCTCATTTTGTTACAATCGTGGCCGCTTGCCCTACACTCCCTGCCAGCTTGACATTGAAGTTGGACGCCAAGTTACCCGATCCTTTCACTTTCTTCGCCAATGGTACCTGCGTGGCCTCCCAAGCAGATTGGGCCTGTCGTCGCGCAGAAATCAGCCAGTTATTCCAACGTTATGAGCTCGGAACTTTGCCATCCAAGCCTCAAACCGTCACCGGCACGTTGTCTGGTACCGCCCTTACCATCAACGTTTCCGACAGTGCAAAAATCATTTCACTCGCCCCGACTATCACTTACCCTTCCATAGGTTCCGCGCCGTTCCCTGCTATCATTGCCATCGGTGGTTTGAGCATCCCCACCCCTGCTGGCGTTGCTGTCATCAATTTCAACAATGATGACATGGCTATCCAGAACGATGCTACTAGCAGAGGTCAGGGCAGGTTCTACACTCTCTACGGAAGCAACGCCACCGCTTCCTCTATGATGGCTTAGGCTTGGGTGTCGGCCGCATCATCGACGCGCTCGAGGGCATTTCTAGCAACTCCAGAATCGACCTCACCAGACTCGGCGTCTCTGGTTGCTCGCATAACGGAAAGGGTGCACTCGTCGCCGGTGCCTTCGAGACTCGTATTGCTTTGACTATCCCTTAAGAGTCCGGCTCTAGCTATGCGGGTTATTGGAGAATCTCTGACAAGATGCTTGCCTCCGGCATCAGTACCCAGACTGCCTCCGAAATCGTCGGGGAGAACGTCTGGTTCTCGACTGCTTTCGCTCAATATGTCAACCAAGTCTCTGGTGTCATACTATTAGAATAACAGTATTTTTGACGCGGGAAGCATAGAATAAGAGAAGATTATATGCGAACGTGCATATATCCATAACACATCCCCTTTGACGAGTTCCATGTTATCCTCTTCGTCGTCTCTCAATTTCTCCCGTAGCCGTGGCTTTCGTTATAAATTTTGACACTTTCGAGTTGCACGGAATGAGGATGTGTCTTCTGAAGCAACATGAGGTCGTCCCAGTCCGATGGAAGAACCTTTATTGCGTCAAAAAGGAAGATTGAGCCGCCATTCGCCTGCACGCGACCGCGAATAATATCTAAACCTACGGCTTCCAAGTGAATATTAAGTTCACTATATTCATTATATGCATTTGATAAATGAAATTCTTCCAGGTTGGGGAGTATTGGCCAGCCATCATCTGAGATGGAGCAGAATGTAGCAGGGATGTGAGGCGAGGCTCGAGTTTCCTACAGAATTAGCGAGCACAGATGTATTAGCTTGGAAAAAACATCTTCGGCGTATTCTTCAGCTCCCTCCTCGCCCAATCTAAGTTAATAAGTTGGCTACTCCTTTGCAAAAATGTCTCGATCCACCCGAACTGTAAAGGGCCGCTTATACTAAAGGACTCCAGCTGCGGTGCATATATAGAATTGCTCGTTTAAGACGTTGCATTGATCCATTTTCCCGATTTCCAAAGCGAGTGATCGCAAGCAGGAAAATGACATTTTGAATGATAATGTCGGTCGAAATGTACCTCATCTTCCTTCCAATATAAGGTTTCAAGCCGCTGGCATTTGGACAGCAACTGAAAAGTTGTTGAGGTCTCGGAAGGAAGTCGAACAGAACCGAGACGGACGACCGTAACGCCCACCAATGTCAGGGATGTAAAAGCCTCCCAGACGTAGTTAAGGATAACAGAGATCCCAAAAGTGAGCAGATTCGGAGCGTTTATAGTTCCGATCCTTGGAGAAAACATCATACCCGAGGATGTATAGTATGTACTATATATCATCGTGAAATGCTGGAGCTTGAGCAGATCTGTTTGCGTGTCTGGAGGAAATAGTTGAGTGGTTATTTGGTCATGATCAATTCGCCTGATAATAATGGCGAAGACCCGTGCCTTGGAGAGATGGCTTCGAAGTTTATGCAACATCTGGCTTAGGTTCTTCAACTCCGGAAGAGTCGACGACCAATAAGAACTCTAACTCCATCCCTCGAGAACACCGAAGGAACTTATCGATAGCAAGAGGATGCTTCCGACGCATAGTATCAACTCGGAGACGAATCCATAACTTCGGCGAGGTCACTGCTATTGCTTTCCAGAGAGTGCATGTATCAATGAGTTTCGGGCGCGGATCTTATTTCTTGTATTCGTCACTGGTCTCCTTTCCAACCCAGGCTAGTGGATTTCCGTCAGCATTGCATGGGAATAATCCTGGTAAAGTTTTGAAGAAGATCCTTTCTAGAATCTCCACCGGAAGCTTACTGATGAGGGCCATGATGGTATGCAAATATTGTAACACGGAGTGCCTAGATATACTCAGGGTATCGGATGGTATTAGTGAGGGTTGGTGGTGGTGGTCGACCTCTAGACTGAACCGATTAGCGCTCGAGAGTTGAGGCCAACCTCTCCGACCCTCAAGGCTGTACTGTGCACATTGCAAGCAGATCCATCCTCTTTATCGATCTGTCGATAAATTCTTAGACACTCTTTCGAAGGTATAAATCTTAATAGGAGATATGCTAAAGTCTAAACAACCCTGAGTTTTCTATAACCGGCAACTTGTTGGAAAATTATCGCATCTTGGCCTGCAGGCTATTACTCTAAGGAATATATTACATATATACCATTAAAATCAAGTTGTTTCGAGTGCTCGTAACCAAACATCTCTATTGAGGTTCAGGTCTTGACCAGGATTGCGGGCCCCAAGTCATACTACGTTAGTTTAATTAATGCCTCGCTAGCTCAATCGGTAGAGCGTGAGACTCTTACAGGTCTTCCTTAGCGAAATCTCAAGGTTGCGGGTTCGACCCCCGCGTGGGGCTAGAGTTTTATCCCCTTTTCTGAATAAATGTTTTTAGGGCAAGGATAGAGAACTGTCTTGAATGAAGTGGTCCCACAATTTACCAACATAACAGAACCCTCACTTAAGCTGAAGACATTGATGCCTCTTTCTTAAAATTTCCCACTAATCCATGAGTATTTTCTCTTGGAAGATTGTCTTCAGACTAATACAATCTTCTCTTGGATCTCTATTGCTTTACTTATTAGCTTGTTATGTGATTTCAGTGGTTTGATAATTGAAGTCGTGTCTGACATTATGCATCAAGTGGGGGTCTAAACTGCCTCAGGCACATGCTTGGTGTTTGTTGACTACGCTGAAAGATACAGTCTGAGGACTGTTTTCATGGAGAAAATTGCATTCTATTGTTTCATCTAAACAAAGCTTTGAGATTTGGTTATACTCAGTCAAACTGTTATATGCGGTGCATTACCTCTGTACTCAGCGTAACATATATCAAGTGGCTAAAAAAAACACCTAGGTACGTAGCCATGGAATTCCTGTGGCCCGGGCTTGGCTTGAGACGCCTTTACCATTTCCGTCTCCAAACCTTAGGTCAACGAGCACGATAAGTTGTATCGGATACTATCAGTATCATAATAACCACCGCAATGAAGTACGATAACTTTATTGATGTTAATGACTTAAAAAAAAAAGCTGTTCCTGCGGAAAATCTAAGAGCAGGTTCCGAGAATAAGTTCCAGTCTTTTCTGCTGTGCCCTTTCATAACCCCTTCGTGTACGATAGATGCACAGGTTCATCGTGAAAGACACTGGAATGAGATAAGGCACATAAACCAGATCGCAGTCGACAGAGTAGGCAACGGCCGAGGCTTAATGGGAGGATAACTAGCCCCATCAGTCGCAACGCCACTTCATGAGATAACTTGACTATCAGGAACTTGCTACCTCAGACTTGATGGCACTAGGAAGGCCGAGCCACAACGATTAAGATCAAGCAGCGCTGTTGGGCAAAATATGGGCATAACAGAAAATATAGACAACAAGGACATATTAGCACCGCCCGAAGTGGCTAAAAGCAAAGGAAACTCACAGTCAATCTGATGTAAGATTTCCATAGATGATGGTATAATGTTTACATTTTCTAGCAGCGAAGTGGATGGTAACCGCGTCTCAGAGAGATCGACTGCAGAGAGCCACCATGAAGCCCAGCCTTTCACCTAAGTCGATGGTATCTGAGGCAAGTGGTTAAGTGCCATATGTGAAACGGTAAATAGGCCACAAAGAGGTAGAAGCGGAAGCCGCTCGTCCCAACTGATAGGATGAGTGGTGCTGTACCTGCGAATTAAAGTTCACGGAGAATCAGAAGAAAAACATAGGAACTCAAGTGGAGCACAGAAACATACCGGCCTTTCTGAAGAACTTCTTCGCTGAGACCATAGCTAAAGATGCGCGGCACGGACACTCACAGTCCAATTCGCGCTGACCCTTCAAACCGTGCATCTATCTCTCCCACGGTTACAGCGCATTTTGTGGAAGTGGTTTACTAGCGGAACTCTCCATAGTCCATGTATTCCGCTTTGAACGGAACATAATGCTAGGCGGCGTTCAACTGAGGTCTTTTGTGTTGTAAGAAATAGACGACTAGGGGGGCCCAAACATCCAGAAGTGTACTACTTACTACTAATATCTCCCTCCGATTATTTTTATGAATGAAGCCAGAGAATTTGAAGAATAATCTTGATAGGCATCGCAAGATCTTCGATCGTTTATTCTGTCAACGAATTCCAAGATTCCACGCTGCAGCAATCTGCAACAACTTTGCACCGATCCCCGAGTCTAAAATAAGGGATTTTTTACATTGGCTTAATCGGGGTCGTAAATCTGCAGAGATATACATCGTCTAATAAGTAATGAGTTTCATTATTCCAGTGCGTTTAAAATGCCTCACCTCAAGAGATACCTTAGAAAAGGAATCGAGACATCGATGTCAAGTACTACAACGTCTGACTCAGTCACAAAACGTCGAGCTCACTGTGATTACTCGGGCGCCTTGAGTGGTCGTCACCACAAAAGAACTGAATATTCATTCAATAGAAAGATCTTTAAAGTTGTTGATACAGCCAGACTTCCTTGCCTTGTCCCCTCGCCTGAGCGGATCCCGGAACATGCGGCAGCACGTCGCTGTTAAGAAGTTGGGTCGGGCGTCGATGGCCTAATATGGTTAGCGAACCCAAAAGCACCCTCTTTCAAACTTGCCTCCTCTCGTTTGCCTATCCTTCGGAATCCGATTGCTTCCTGTGCTGTTGTCCATCCACGTTCGATGCTTTGAGATAACGATATTATTTCATACATAGCTTGAATCGTTCGACGAGAGAAAAAAACATCTCCCTATCCAATTGGAACCATTTCCAAGTCAAACCTCTGAATCTTCAAGCTTTTTCAAGTACAACGAAGAGAAAGACCTAGCTTTAAAGGAATTTATCATAAAGTGAGTTTTTATGCAGGTCGATAAGCATTTTTGCTGATTACTTCAAGGAGCCACTTCGAACAATAGCGCCCAATTCTTTCCACTAGCAACTCAAAGGCAAACAGTGAACACTGACCATGTTGACTATATCTCCAAGAACCACCCCTTCCTCCAAAGCGTCATCTGCAATGTCGTTTCTATTTAGAGCGCACTGATCATGATGATAGCTCCTCGTGAGACAATTTGGGACCTAGGGAATAGTATGTGTGGTGGTACCACCCGCCAAAGCAACGAGAGAGCCCTGGAGCAGCCGTGAGTTCTGCCAGTAGTGGAGTGAGTAAAACTTGTGGAACAAATATGGTGCTATAAACTCATGAGATGGATGACGGACTGTTTTGTCACATTCCTTTTGATTGGGTATTTTACTTCTCATCCAATCTATTTGAACAAATGGCTAAATTTAGCGTCTTCTAGGATACCGAACAAATATTTCTACTTCACCTAAGGAACTCTGGCCATAGTGAAGAAGAAAAATTATCACGTACTAGTACCGAAAGATAGCAACTTCCAGGTTAAGCAGCCCGCGAACCTGACTCTTCTAATCTACTCTATGACTTACATATTGCATCATTCAAATATGCCGACTTACTGACGGAATCAAGACGAAGAGTCTTATCAGGAGATACGCGTAATTCCCCGTGGCGCGCATCGTATCCATAGGAAATATGCGCAGATAATGTACAGTGGAAGCTGTATGGAAAAACCGCTTTTCGCGATGTCAAAATTAGCGTGAAACCAAGTGATGTGTGTTAATATTCTTCCCGCATTTCAGGAACGTTTTAACGTACTATTCAATGGTGCCTGCCATTTTCAGACTCCGACCGTTAAGTTCTTACACGTTCTGTCGCTGCAGAAAACACGTTCAAAACCTATTATACCCATTTAGGGTAGCTACAACCAAATAAAAATCTCGATAATTCCAAGAAATATATTTTAATTATGTCCCCCTGAGAACTTACACTTATATCGCGCCCTCCTTATAGTGTTTTTACATAAGTTAAGGGTACAGTAATTTACTGGCTTACCTTATGAGAAAAGCTGTCTGGGCTTTTTCTTCCAGATGTTTATGTCATGAGAATCCGTGACTCACCCCTTGGATAACAGTACTGGAGCGGTATAATACCCTTTGCATGAAGTGACTATGTGATTCTTCAGCACTTAGTGACATGAATGTCATGTCATGTCAATATTGTCTATAATCAGGTGCTTTCAGATATCCAAAGGTGAGATCAGCTCATTCAGAAATGATTATTTATATGAAAAAAAAGGACACAGTTCCAGTGCGACATATTGATTGATAGAGTAGTGCTAGGGGAACTGAGAAGGAGATGGCAATCCCCTTACTATTTTTCTGTACTGTATTTTGATCTATTCTTTGGATACCGCTACTTTTACATACAGTAATATAAGTTTAGAGTGCTTTTACTAATTTCTGCGTATTGTTTTCGACATGTAGAACCCATTTCATGTCGTCTCGTGCCTCCATAGGTAACCGAAAGAAGCGCCCCTCACACTTTTATTCTCATAGGCGTTGCCTACCTCCAGTACTAACGGGATCAACAGATTATACTTGTCCCAGTGTCAAGTACCTAGACACCAAAACATCATCGACGGTATGCGGATACTAATCTTGGGCATGAGTAAATTTTATGGTCCATCTGTTTGATTCATAAATTCGTAGGAATTGTCTTTTTTCTAGGAATGATTTGGACGACCATCAAGGTACCCATCGAGGAGACGTATTTCCCTCTATATTTATTGGAAAAGCCGTTAAAATATCAGAATATCAGGTCGCACATCCAAGTCCTTCAAGTTGTGAAGCCCTGTTACCCTTTGCGATTTTTGGTGATCGTATCAATTGGATAGCGGTTACTTATTCATCGAGTTTGCCGTCAGGTTGACCTTCATTACTGACATTCGACAACATTCAACTCTGAAAATCGCTGCCGTTGAATATTTTTCATTGGAATATGAACGAGTTTCAAATTCGTATGAATCCCGAGGGACCGGAGACTCAGGGCCTTCATGGAATTCTTCCTGTAAATGGCTCACACCATATTTCGAACTCGGCGAATTTGACTGATTGACTATCACAAACTACCGCAATACCTTATAAGTAGGGGATGCGCGTTCATGGTGCTGATTACCGAAGCACGGTCTTCCAGGGTTTTCCTTACGTGTCTATCCCAGCGTAATGTTGCCAGTGTCCATCATTCAGGGAATCCTTTCAGACCCTTTCCGATGTATCTCGCAGAAGAAGACAGCTTCGTCTGGATCACCTGCGACCCTGTTATACAGACAGGGTTATGGCTATTTGAAGCGTATGTAAGTGGTGAAGCGATTGCGAGGTAGTCTCCCTATAGGGGGCAGACCCCTTTCAGCATGCAGTGATTTGAACTATTTCCGCGTACGCTGGTGCACTAGTATTTACCTATAATAATTACTGTTGACTGATAATTGGTTTAGAGATTTAGACCCTAGGGGCTATTTATC